AGAGAGAGAGAGAGAGAGTATACAGAGATCTAGAACATCTACACATACAATGCCTTGCATTTTTTCTGTTTTGATATACATCTAATATTGTCTTACACATTTACATGTCGGATAATACATGTTGATACCCTGTATTATTACACTGAACTATATTTCTTTTAAACGGATTCTCTTTGAAATAACAATTGCAACTTTAATCATGATTTGAAAGAGATGTAATTTCCTATTGTGATCAGTTATGAAATTAAATGCCATCCTTACCCTCGCTTTTAATTGACTTTGAACTCCACCCTTCAGTAGTGTGCTTGAAATGTTTTGAAAATTACGTTTTCATATTGCTTCATTAAGTAATTGCTCTGCAGGTGTTTTTTAAGTCATAAAACAAAATGGAAGGCATTGTAACGACATGATATGATTCAGGCTTGGATAAAGGCGATATGCAACGATAAAGAGTTTGGAAACCTTAATAAGCTTAGTATTTAATCACGTAAAATTATTTTTCCGTGCAATGTGATATTTTCTTTCTCTCATCCGAACACAATCTACGCTGGAATTTATATTTATTTGAAAGCAGACATATAATGATACACACTAGCATAATGTACAGTTTTTTTTTCTTCACACACCTCATGAACAAAGAAATAAAAATGAGGTTTCCGATTCACCATTATCTCGTATGCTCCGTTTTCTCGTGATGATGAGGCACCACACCATCTCTTCAGTAACGTGATGATATAGTGTCAGATGATTCGTATACATATACTTGTAAGATTTTCTTCAATTCTTGAACTCATTTCTACGATTTTCTTTCTGTTTTTGTTCCAATATTTTCCTCTTTCCCTTCCCGCGCCCATTCTCTTTCTCGCTTTTCCTTGTTATTGTAGATTGATTTTATTTTCCTCCCCCTTTCTTTTTTATTTTTTCCCTTTTCTGATTCCCCCTCATTCTCATTTTCTTTTCCTCTTTATCTTGTTCTATCATTCCGATCCAATCTTACTTTCTTACTCTTTTCCTTACTCGATTTACTCACCCCCCTCATTCTCTCCCTATTTCTCACTCTTCCCCCCTTTACCACGAACAAGGGCAGAAGCAAAAGACGGATTAGTGAACTCCTCGCCTCTCCTCTTTCATCTCAAAAGTACATGCCAATAGGTAGACGTCGGCGCTCTAAATTAATTCCACTTAGCCGCGTTTCCTTCTCGGGGGAAAATAATGTTTTTTCCACATTCTTTGAATTTAAGAGCGACGGACTAGACGCCTAACTTCATTTTATAGGAAAAGGGAAAATGAATTCGGCATTTGATTGTATCCTTTCCTCGTAAATTGAGCTTCACTAAAACTTTTGCGTATGTGATATGTGGTGTGCAATGCCACGCTCATATCTATTTCATATTCATCCATCTATTTGTGTATCTATCTATCTATTCATCTATCTACTTACATCTATCACTCTATCAATCTCCACACATACACACACAACACAGACACGTACGGTAAATCACGATGAGATACTTGCTGTGCAAATAAATAAAGTTTAACAGACAAAAGAAACAACACAAATCAAAGAAAGAAAAAAAAAACAGGAGTTCCAACTCGCCTTTACTGAAAAAGCGACTGAAATTGCTGTAAACAATTTTCAAAAATGCATATAATTAAAGAGCAGATGTGGCGTCGATCCCTGATCTTCGACACACGACGCCAAAACAGTTACATGTTCCCATCCTGCCGCAAAGAACCATATTATAGGAAAAATATAGTTGCGTTAATAGCATGAGCTTTCGAGAAAAAAAAACATGAAAGTTCGAGAGAGTTAGAGCTCGTAGAACCCTTAAACAAAGGAAAAATAAATTCCTGCTTTATCTTAAGCCTTTGCCTGAAAGCCTTCTGGTTTTTAAGCCTCATACGAAGGTTTACTATCTTACCTTCCGAAAAGCGGAAAATCGCCGTAGTTCGTTTGTAAGAGATTTAACCGGCAGCTTTACAACCAAATCACAGATTGGTTAATCATCAATAAAAATAAATAGATGAATAGATAAAATATAATAAAAATGAATGAATAAATAAATAAGATAAATACCGGCGAGAGGAAAAGAACCACGATTCTCCAAGCGACATTGCCACTGCACTCCCCAGGCAGTTCCCTCCATTCCTACACGACGCCCTTCGATCAGCAAGCAACATTCCGCCCGCCTGAGCCTTGGGCGTAATATTACGCTAGCCGCCGTTTGAGTGAAAACAAACAACCCGGAAAATTCCGATCCCCGCCTTCCAAACCACCAAACAAAGAGCCCTTAAAACCCTGGTCGTAGTGGATATAGGAAGGGCTTCAGGGATCGGAAATGTTTGGAGGGGAAGATATAATAAAGATCTCTTTTAATTCCCCTTCTTATCGCGTATGGAACGGCGCCATTTTCTTTTCCAAGCTTAAGCATAAAAAGTAGGAACGAAATATGGCATGCACAGCTTAAATTATAAATTGAAAAAATAGTTGTTGATAAAG